CCCTACACGCTGCACTGAAGTTAAAAAAGTTTACCTTGTTGTGTCCAAATGCAGAAAACCTGACAGACCACAAAGAAAAAGAAGCTGATTTTGGTGGACCCATACCCTTTTCTTCTTTGCTGCGACTTTTCTCCTCCTCCTCAGCAATACAACTAAAGCCAGAGCTTTTCGCTGACATGTAGATAAATACATTGTGCATCCAAATCCACTGCTCGAAAAATTTGTTAATACCTCCTAACCACATCATGAAAAGCCTTTTGGTCACCTAGAAACTGGCGACCAAGATGTGCACCCTCCTCCCCTGTGCCGCGCCCACCCCCCGCAGTGAGTGCAGCACATACCACGTTCTGGTATCTGAAAACAGCTTAAGTCTGGTTTGGCTCTACAAAGACTGAACTGAAGATTTTATGATATTTTAAAATGGTTTTTGCTATTTGTATAAGACCATCAGTGAGGCTTACTCATTTTAATGGAATGTTACATGTGCACATTTACTGTAAATTGGCAACTGTTTAGTAGCGGCTGCTAACTGAAAAAACTGTGTGGTCAGTAGTTAGTGCCCTAAGGAACTATGAAATGTCAAAAAAGAGGCCTCTCTCTTTACTCAAACCTTCTGATGAATTGCCTGTCAGGTCCATTACCTGCATATTCCTGCGGCCTCATTGGCCGATTGATGACCCTCTGAAAGGCTGCTATCCAATCCCGTTGCTCTGCCTCTGTTTCACAGGCAAACAGAAATTTCCTTTCAGGTGTAACGATGGTGATGCCATGGTTCCAGTGGTAGCCCTGGATGGTCGGGGGCAAGCCGGACAGAACAGTGTAGCTGTTCTCCTTACTGCCAATGAACACTTCACCACGGGCATAGGCATCCTGTGGGAGGAGAGACAGTGAATGAGAAGAAAGACTATGTGTACCCCGTGTTACTGGTCAGAACAAAGCAATACATTAAGAGCGTCTCTTCTTACCAGTGGATCTTTAAAATACATAAGTCTCCTGTCATCCATAGTGAACCACCTCTTCTTGAAGCCCTCTGTGTGCTGCAGCAAAGAAAAGGGGAATGAAGTTTAAAAAGAGAGATACAGCAAAAAAGCCAGTTCACTGGAAAAACAGTAACTCATTGTAACAGCTCTGCAGGATGGTTGCAAGTGTCAGTGCTCTCAAGCTTTGTTCTTACTTTTGGATATACACTAATTCAGATAACATAAGTTCAATTTGGCCACTAAAATGAGTGTTAAAAATAAAACTATTATTAGAACCATAGACTACGAGGGCAGCCATCTTGCCTTTGTGATGCATTTTGCTACCAGATTCTGCACAGTATCGACCAGAGGTGGAGTTAATGAGATAAAGAATGAGAATGAGAGATAAAGCAGAATGAGATAAAGCTGTCAGTCATCTGAAAATACACTCCTCCTTTTGATAACATCTTGTCTATGACCAGCAATGTAAACTTACAACTTATACAATACAAAACCATCTATAGGACTCATATTACACAAGGTAAAATGCTCAAAATGGGTTTCACTGACACAGACATCTGTTCACAATGCACTCAACAATTATTTTCATGCTACTTGGGCCTGACAACCAGTTTATTCCCTCTGGATAGCAGTGACAGGGCTGCTGAATCCCTCCTTCTCCATCACTTTGCTTGCTTGGTAATATATTAATAATAATAATACTAATACCTTATTTATATAGCACTTTACAGTTCAAAAGAGGAGCACAAAGTGCTTCACAATAAACATGCATACCATAGCAAACCTTAAGAACAACAAGAAATAACATATAGAAAAGGTGGATGATAAAACAGCAAAAGAAAAGGTACCCCTAAAAAAAACTGGGTTAGTTATCAAAAGCCCGTCTAAAAAGGTACGTTTTTAGAGTTACCTTAAAAGGGGCCAACTCAGTTATGGACTGTATTTCTGGAGGTAACGAGTTCCAGAGCCTAGGGCCATAGCTGCTAAAAGAGCGATCACCCCATTTTTTGTAGCAAGAGCGGGGGGTGACTAGGGATAGGTGGTCTGCAGAGTGCAAGGCTCTGTGGGGAGAGTAGACAGACACAAGCTCTGATAGGTATAAGGGGGGGAGGCCATTGATAGACTTTAAAACAAATAAGAGTACTTTAAAATCGACTCTAAATTTCACTGGTAGCCAATGTAACGAGGAGAGAACAGGAGTGATGTGAGCATGTCTAGGAGTATTTGACAGAAGCCGAGCTGCAGCATTCTCTACAAGTTGTAGCTTCCGAAGGAGAAATTGCGAGATACCGACGTAAAGGGCATTGTAGTAGGCAAGTCTGGACGTGATAAAAGCGTGAATATCATAGAAGTCGACCACCTACCATTTAAATACAAAAACCCACTCCTCATTTCTCTAGCTAATGCCAAGAAAACAATCATTCAAAACTGGAAGTCAAAAAAATCCATCCATCGATCCATCCATTTTCCTCCGCTTATTAAGGAACCGGGTCGCGGGGGCAGCAGTCTAAGCAAAGATGCCCAGACTTCCCTCTCTCCAGACACTTCCTCCAGCTCCTCCGG